AACTCCCAGAATTCTGGGAGTTGAAGTCCACCCATCTTAAAGTTGCCAAGGTTGAGACACACTGGCTTAGTGGTTAAATTGAAATCTAGTACTTCATCTTCTAGCACATTTTTTTTTAACGAAACATGTTTTCTTAACCCCCTTCCTGAATTCATCAGCCTCTGATCTTCAATAGGTCATGCAGCACTAACCTTATATATCTTTTGATATAGTCCAATTGTTCAGATTACTTGGTTGTGTTTGATGTTTTCAATATTGTGATTGGGACTTTGGCTTGTTAAGTTTCTCTCCACTTTAGTGATTGGTTGGGCCAGAAAAGGGAGGGAGGGAGGGAGGGAGGGAGGAAGGAAGGAAATTTAAATATGAATTGATGTAAGGATTGGCTGGAGAGAAAATAAATTGTCTTTCCAGAAACATAAGTTTGAAGTCATTGTTGCAGTGCTGTATAGATAAGTGTATAAACAGCCTGTTAATAGACATACTATTGTATGTTAGTAAACCAACAGATAATGTTTGGAAGTGATATTTTGATGTTATTTTCAAATTCTTTGATAGGGCTACACAAATACTATATTTGCATAGCAAGGCTACAGTACAATAACTCTCTTAATGTGGTTCTCTCTTTGTTTTTATCCCTATTTTATTTCAGTGTCTTGTGCTCATCAGTCACACTTTGTTGGTGAAATTTGGTTATTACAAGATTGTCTTATATTCTTTCTATCTGGAAGGAATTGCTGCAGTTGTCATGCTTGTTCTGGGTCGAGAATATTACTACTTACTGGCTATTTATCTCACTGTCAATATGTAAGTAAATATTTATCATCGATTTTCGGAGCTTTAGAATACCGCTGACAGTTCTAGGCTGCCAAAACTGGGGAGACCAAGGAGATACAGACACCTTGAACTTCTCCCTGCCATCTAGTGACCATTGAGAATTTCTCAATCTAGAACTGACACTGACCGAATGTCAGCCAGGATTTGGTGCTCAAAAATTTGAAGCTATAGCATCAATGGCCCCAAACCATTTGAAACTATAATCTTTCTCATCAGTGTGAGCTGTTTCTACCATAGTGCTAGATAATTCATGAGAAAAGAGTGATCACCTTTGATTCTGGTGCTTTTAAAAAGAGGATGAAGTGTGTTCGTTACAGTTAAATTATCAGTGGCTAAAATCCAATACGTGGTGTTGCATCCATCTGATGGTTCTTACCTGGATGTAGCTAGCTAGGTCTGGGAAGAAGGCAAGACCAGATTAGCTTTCTCAGAGATAGAAACCCCTGCAGGTAGTTTGATCGATAACCTATCATCCCTGAGCATTAGCTTACGGCTTATGCTGATGGCAGTTGTAGCTGAAAACAATTAAAGGGATCGGATTGAGAAAGCTTGGACCAAAGAGATGGTTGGGATAGTAGCGCAGGGTTCTTTGTATTTAAAATGAAAATGTTGGTGGAAAACTCTCCAGATGAAGAAAATTCCTGGACCTCAATTATAGTTTTATGCCTGAATCCCAGGGCTTAATTAAAGGTAACCAAGGATATAGTAAATTCATAACCAATTCCATATGGTTGAAAAGTACAGTAGCACAAATTGCAGTTGGCTTTATCTGGGGAGGACTGAGACCCCCTGTGTGAATTTATCCAGCTCTGGAACATACTATAATTAGACAAGTTAACAGACAAAAAGGTTGGGTGCAGATGGATGGGAAACTAAGCATTAATCATTTTCAAATTAAATTCATTTTATCCATTCAGGTTGAAGGCATCTCTTTTGGTGAAAGGTTACATCTTGATAAAGTTCTGCAGTGCTTCAGAGTACTTGGGGACACAAATGTAGCCTGTCTGCAATTCATTAAATCAGCTGCATCTTTTCTCACTTGTAGGGGAAAAGATATTTGTGACTTAAGGAGCTGCAGACAAGAGTGATGTACATACCCCCATGTGCTCTAAACCAGTGTTTCTCTAAACCACCTTTTTGCTTTTGAATCTAGTTTGATCTAGTGGTTAAGGCACTAGCCTTAGGCATGAAAGCCGGCTGGGTGACTTTGGGCCAGTCCCTCTCTCTCAGCCCAACTC